CCGCTGAGCAGCATGGCCTCCGGTAATACCGGTAGTTGCTTAGCCCTTTCGGATGTTGGCAGTATAACTTCTACTTTTTCCTAAGATGTAGGATTTTATCAAGGATAAAAGTTTTCATTACATTATTGCTTGTCTGAAATTACATTTTGCTTACAACGAATATTATTTGGTGTCCTACTAACATGCGTGTTGTGAAATGAAATGTAACTTTTTGATAGCCAAATGCCTAATCTACATTTTATTATGGTGTTGTTACAATGAGTAAAACAGATCCAACCTACATTCACATCAGGAGTTCAGTTTGTGCATACTATCATTTTAAAAACCAGTGTCTAGTAATTCTATAAACTCAAATAACAACGTAGTGATACGCCACCTACCTTTTTGAAAATTAAGTTGAGTTTATCAAACTTCTCAGCCTCTTTGGGGATGCGCGTGTGTATATCGCTACCTGCAAAAAGAGTTTCCAGGTGGAGCCATTTGCGTTGGACCAAGACCCAAATCTCCAATACCTCGCTTGCTAGTGTTAGATCTTTCTCCAGTCCTCGAATCTCCTCCAGAAAGGGTGTAGCAAACCGACTGCCACTCATCGACTGCAGACTGAGGCTACTGTCATCCAGAGTCTGAATTACCTCCTCCAGTCCACCAAATATGAGGCCTCTTTTCATTTTCTCTGGGATGTAATCTTTCACCTCCAGTTGGAGACCATTCCAGGTGTCTTTGAGAGCCGAAAAATCCTAAATTTTAAGTTGTCGAAGCAGAGATTTGTAGCTTCATGTAATTTATTCGAAATATTTTTTTATTTGTCATGCAGCATTTTACGGTGTACTTTGGAGAGCGATAGATTAGAGGCATGATTTGGTAAGTTTCGGGATAAATTTATAGGCAATATGAGAAAAGATGCTCATAACACTTCACCTAAATCGTAAATATTGGGAAAAGCACTTAATTCTACTTCAAAATAGCTAACCTTTTCGATGGAGAATTCCTTGAGTGCAGCGCTTAGAACCTCATCAATTTCGCTGCGAAACTGGTCGAGGTGCATGTCAAAAATATTTCCAAGGGTGAATTTATCTGGATTCAAAGCGAATTCATGCTTGGTCTTCTCCATTAGCATTGACCAGTGTCTGCGGTGAAATGAAAGGGTGGTTTGGTACTAGTTTATTTACCCTGGAACATTGTCTATTTAGCATTAAAAGTGGTATGCAAGTCGCATGGGAAGCCTTGTGATGGGTCATATAATCAGCACAGTATGCGCCAATTTAAATGGAAATTCGTAAAACTAAGTGGGATAATAAGACCCATTCCAGTTACCCTTTTCCTCATTATTTTAAGTCTAACAAAGACGTGAAATTTGCTAGTTACAATTTACACACCTTAGTGAAGTCACAGTAATTCCTATCACACTTTACAACAAGGAAAGAAACTTGCAGGAACCTTATACGCCTTTACTCGCGTTTTAGTAGATAAAAAAGCAGAAACAAAAGTTAATGTAATGAGAAACTAACCCCTCACCATAAAGGCTCCCATTGTAACTGTCTCAACTTTTCACCGCATCCAATTTTTGATGGAATTATTTTGTAGTCCCGATGGGACTTTAAAATCACCGACTTAACAAAAAGAACTTAAGGACTGGCAACCAAAATGAACGTAAGGATTCTACCTTTGCCGCAATGCCTCATGCTTGAGGTCCTTGAGCAGGGTTACGGAACAGACAAATTCAGACAATCGCGTTTCAAGCACCCTGCCGACGTCCATATGGCGGATCTGCTTGGGCAGTTTTTGAAAGGTCTGTTGCAGACGTTCTACTTCGTTTTGCAGAATAGAGAAATGCGCATCGCGCCACAATACCTTCGACCATTCCTCCTGCAAGCTCTACGGGAAGTAAAGGAGCTAAAGGAATCGGGAGCCGGTAGCAAACTAGAGAGTCCTGCCAATTTTTAGGTCTAGATTGAATGCATTAATGAGGAAAGTGGTACGCAAGTTAATCGGAAACGGTAAAAGTCTGATTATCAGTAAACTAGTTTTATAATTGTGAGTATGAAGTCAATTAAGTAGTGGTCATAATGCCGTGATATTTCTTTACGGGGTTTGCCACTTTGGCTATTTGAAAAAGCTTTAGTTTGCTGAATTGTTTCATGTGACGGTGATTTAAGACGTAGAAACACTACTGATTTTACTCACTTTATGATCAACGTAAATCGTGTAGATCCTAGCTAGAGAGTCTATTTGTTGCTGAACACTGTCTAATCCCTCAGAGTATGTAACTGGGAGGTCAAACAGCCTCTCTGCTGAGAGAAGTTTGTTGTAGGTTGCAGCCAAGCCCTGCAGCTCCTCGTTGTACTCCTAACAAAGTGCAGTTTTGGCCAGAGAGTTTATGTTGCGTTAAAGTACTTTGCATCAGTAGGAAAATTTTATGTTCATGAAGCCTCATTTCATGAAAGTTAGGTGAGACAATAACGGTTTTGAAAGGACTCATGATGTCAACAAAACAGCATCAAAGTCTCAGATATAATAGTCTTTATGCAAAATTACCTATTTTATTCAAAGGAGTATTGATGCTAATTGCACCTTTTTGTATTTCAGAATTCACCTAAACTTATAAATATTAAGAGGAATATGCCATATTATGTGCCTATCGATGAAAATGATACAGAAACGGCAATGGATGTCAGAATGGATTTTCAACCAATTGACCTTCATAAGCTTTAATCCCCGATCAAGATCACCCTCGACCGCTGCTGGTCCCGAGGTCTTGAACCTCTGCATAAATTCTTCAATCTCCTTGGAAAAATGCTTTGCCTCAACTTTTGTGGTGTACTTGAACAACTTGCGTGGCCTGTTGAGACTCCTCTCAGTGGCCCGTGCCTGTTTTAGCAGCCCAAGCCAGGCCCGACGCAAACTTTTGAAGTCATTCATCTCATCAGCGGTAACTTCCAGATTGTGTAGCCGCAGTAGACGATGGCATTCAGCAATACAGGCTAGCTGTTCCTCGCTCTCTGCCCGAACGTCATTGATGTCTCGAATGGTCGACAGAAGGGGTTTTAGACGGCTTCTTTCAGAGGGCTTAACTTGAAGGCGTGGTAGGAAGGCCTTTGGGGATGAGAAAAAATGAAATATAAGTTAGAGATATTTAAATTAATGATGAATGGCTAAGCGAAAGCTTGGCCTGTACTCTAACAATACAAATAAGTTAAATTAGCGAACGAATAATAAAAAGAATTTAAGAATATCAAATCGTATTTGCTGTCAGCGCCTTCAACAGAAACCTTGAACACAAAAGCATCACTTGAAGATGCCATAGAAAAATAAGTTTTGCAGATGATCTTACGTGGATGCTATCGCGAAGCTGTCGGCTGACGGCTTGGACATGTTCACGAAAGAGCTCACCATAGGTGACAACCCACTTCTTGGCATGCATTTGGATACCTTGAACAAGGAGACCTGTACGAAGTGTAAAGAACCCGATCTGCGTATCCACCATGCTTTCAAGCAGGTCGTTCAACTGGTCAGTCACCTCATTGATGCGCTGATCAATGTCCGTTACTGAGGGGTTGCACCTCCTCCACTTCTCCACGCTTGAATTCTAGAACTCATTCAGTGATAAGGGATTTATGTGGTAATATATGAATTGCTAAATGCTCATTAGAATTAATCGAATGCCTAATATCCGACTCGTCAAATTCGTGGATGATAAAGCCCTTTGCGGTGGCAATAAATTTCTTATACGGTATTGCATATAATTTTGGTGCAGGTGTTTGAAAGTATTTCCAACTACCATCTTCAAAAAACCTAAGCCCCTTTCTTTGTAAAGAGTCCAATTATGCTCCAGGACCAGCCTCTATGATATAACTGAACATGTTTACACTTGCATCAATTCACATGAATATTGTAAACCTCGTTGGATGGACGCGAATTTCAAACACCAAGCAACCTCATAGAGTTAAGTTGAAGAAATCATCTTCGGTCGACAATGTGAATATAAAAAGTCAAAACTTTTTAATGGGCGCATAGCCGCAACAATACAAAATGCTGCATTTCTTCCCTGGTGTAGATTTCGCTTGTAAGGTCAGGCAACAGAGTTTTGGAACAATCTGATACACCGAAATTCTAACCTCTTCTCTGGAAGACGAAGGCGGTGAATCCTCTTACATGTAATAAGAGACAAGCCGCTCAATATAGGAGTCTTTCTAATTTAGGGTGACATTGCGTTAGTCAGAGAGATGGCTTTATTCCTAGTTAGTGTTTTACAATTTTTTGAATCTCAGGAGCTGTGGTAGACTATCAACTACAGTTTCACCTCCTCACAAAACCAATGAAGAGGACAAAACTTTACAGTTTGCATACCGATTTCAGTGACTTCGACCAAGTTTGCAATGGCATGGTCTTAAATTCTACAATTACACATAATTAAGAAATCACTGAATCCTTTAATGAAAGAACATATGGGTTAGTAGAAGTAAGTTACGGCAGCAGGTACTAATATTAGAGTTAGAATTAACCATTTCTAGCCCTCGCGAACCTTGTGAGTGGCGAATAGATGCCTGTGTTGGCGATACTTCTCCTGGTGGCGTTTGAGCTCTTCAGCAGCACGAAAAATTAGACAGTTGATTTGCTGAAAGAGTTCCTTCACCACTACTGACTTGACAAGATCCTGGTGAAAGGAAAACAGGAAGATGTCCTCCTGCTCGGGCAATTTAATGCCTTGGCTGGGAAGACAAGAGCCTGGCTTCCAGCGAATAAACACTTGCGTGTTCTTGATTGCATCGCACACATCCTAGTTAAAAGAGGTTAGTAAGCTACGAAAATATGCGTTGGCTCGCAAGTAGATTGCTACAAAACGCGTCATCAGTCATTGGGATAGACATGAATAAAGTC